TGATCCCTTAACAAAAACAGAAGTTTTGAACTGCAAGCAAAATATCAGGTTCTTCTGTAATAAATGCAAACACACAGTACCTTGAGGTTTTCTTGAGACGATTTCGGGGCTTTAGTGTCCCCGCGGCCCGGTCCTCGACCAGGCCTCCACCCCCAGGAAGCAGCCCGTGACAGCTGACTAACACCCAGGTACCTATTTTACTGCTAGGTAACAGGGGCATAGGGTGAAAGAAACTCTGCCCATTGTTTCTCGCCGGCGCCCGGGATCGAACCCGGGACCACAGGCTCACAAGTTCAGTGTGCTGTCCGCTCGGCCGACCGGCTCTACCTACATGGATTCTTGACACCCCATTTCTGAGTCTACTAGTCTACTAGTCACTACTAGCGACTACTAGTCACTTGACTAGTCAGACTACAATCTTTCAGCAGCAGCCGCCGCCGCCTAGAGAAGCTCTCAGGTCTGGTGGAGGAAGGTGAGGATTTAAAACTTGAAGTCTAGCTCTGAGACAAGAGAGTACTTAGCGCTTGAGAAGCACCTTGGGCCGGATGCCACGAGTGACGCTGCCTTCTGGTCCATTCATTATTTACCCATCCACAGACAGACACAGACAAAAACAGACAAGACACAGACACCACTTTGGCCTCGTTAGGCGGGACCAAAGAGCCAGAGCTCAACCCCTGCAAGCACAACTAGGTGAGTAACAACAGATATCAAGACAGACAGTAACAGACAACGAAGATTCTTTATCTTCTCAAGATACATCAAATAATTAGAAAATATCGAAATTAACTACAAATATCGACAAAAAAAATAATATTCCTTTTTTTTTCTTAATCAACTCACAAGTGGACCAAAATTACTCCAAAATTTCCATTAATCAAATACCATACATAATGGGCAAACTTTGCTGGAATTCTTGAACGGAAGCCTTCCTAGCTTGAGCTCACATGAAGGACTCAGACGACGATCCATCAGCTCATAAGGCTGACAAAAAGCCCATACGCTGACTCGTATATATGTTACGATTGACTCAAAACCGCATATATAAAATCATTGCATTTGTTAGTTCAGACGATTGACTCCTAAACTTATTCATAACTCGCAGGTCACGGGAAAGCTTACATAGTGGAGATGACAGGAGTGTTGAGGTGAGACAGTGATGGTGATGACAGGAGTGTTGAGGTGAGACAGTGATGGTGATGACAGGAATGTTGAGGTGAGACAGTGATGGTGATGACAGGAATGTTGAGGTGAGACAGTGATGGTGATGACAGGAGTGTTGAGGTGAGACAGTGATGGTGGTGACAGGAGTGTTGAGGTGAGACAGTGATGGTGGTGACAGGAATGTTGAGGTGAGACAGTGATGGTGATGGCAGGAGTGTTGAGGTGAGACAGTGATGGTGATGACAGGAATGTTGAGGTGAGACAGTGATGGTGATGGCAGGAGTGTTGAGGTGAGACAGTGATGGTGATGACAGGAACGTTGAGGTGAGACAGTGATGGTGATGACAGGAGTGTTGAGGTGAGACAGTGATGGTGATGGCAGGAGTGTTGAGGTGAGACAGTGATGGTGATGGCAGGAGTGTTGAGGTGAGACAGTGATGGTGATGGCAGGAGTGTTCAGGTGAGATAGTGATGGTGATGACAGGAATGTTGAGGTGAGACAGTGATGGTGGTGACAGGAATGTTGAGGTGAGACAGTGATGGTGATGACAGGAATGATGAAATGACAGTTAGCGAATAAAGGGAAATCTCCCTATAAACTCTGAATAATACGCATCACACGGCAGAACAGGAGAAAATTTCCCTATTGTTTCCCTTCCAAAGCGTCTCTGTACGCGGCCGGATGACAGTTGATGACAGTTTGCGTATTCTTACCTGGCCTGCCTCGTCCACTCCCTCTTTACCCTCCCCACTCCCCCTTACCCTCCCCACTCCCCCCTTACCCTCCCCACTCCCCCCTTACCCTCCCCACTCCCCCCTTACCCTCCCCACTCCCCCCTTACCCTCCCCACTCCCCCCTTACCCTCCCCACTCCCCCCTTACCCTCCCCACTCCCCCACACCCTCCCCTCCCATCTCTATAGCGTATGACCTGCGTTAATGCTCTTAATGCTGCGTATTAGCGTAATGAAGGAGGACTGAGGCCATTGTGTTAGCCTGGAGGTACGCAGGCAGGCGCCGGTGAAGTCAGGCTGGAACACAAGCACTGATTACCCCTCTTGTCTGCCCCCCCCCCCCACTCCCCCTCCTTACTCCTCTTCTCTCATCCTCTCTCTCAAACACCTGCGAAACAGGTGTGAAGTACGAAAAATCACAGAAAGTTACATCCTTGCTCCTGTGCCAGATAAGTCCACAACGGGCTCACCATAGCCCGTGCTACTTGGAACTTTTTGTTCCAAGTTGCGAATCTTAAACAAGAAGAAGAAGAAACAGCTGTGAGGTAGGGAGAAACAGCTCTGAAGTAGGAACAGGTGTGAACGAGATACAGACATATGAGCAGGGGACGGAATAGTGTACAGAATTAATCAAACTCCCCCTTAAGAAACGCGGGATCCCACTACCACCCCTTCCCCGTCGTGGGCAATACACCCCCACCCCCCAGATGGATTTTCCACCCCCTCCATCGTGGGTTCTCCCCTCTCCCCCCTCCACCGTGGGTTCCCCAGGCCTCCCTTCCCCCCCCCCCCCATCGTAGGCACTCCAGAAGTGCACTAACCATTCATAATGTCACAGAAACCTTAGGAAACCATTTTAAAACTATTTTTTTACAATCTTAAAGTATTCGAGGCTCATTAGTATGTTTCAGGAGTTTTCTAAAGTTTTAATCGCCGCCAAGAACTTTTCGCTAATGATATTAGGTTCCAATGCTTTTTTTTTTAAAGGCTTCGGTAAAATTAATAATGTTTTGGGTCAAATT